TTTATATTACTTAATAAAAGTTAAATTAGTAACTTATTATTATAAAGTAAGGTAAAGTAAGGTAAAATACTAAAGTAACCTAAAATAAAATTAAAATATAAAAAATAATAGCTAACTAAGGTGTTATAAGTAAAAGATTATTAAATTAAGATAGTTATAAAGGTAAAAAATATAAAAATACCTAGTAATAATAATATAAATAAACTAAATTAGAAGAAAAAGTAAAAAAAAAAAACTTAGACCTTAGTAAGTAACTAAGGTTTAAGTATATATAGACTAGGGCTAGAAATTCCCTAAAGACTAGGCCTATATTAGCCTAAGAAACGCTATAAAAAGGATCTAAAAACCCTACTTACTTAACTTAAAACGCTACATAAGGATAAGTAGCTTAGGAGGGGGTATAATTATTATAGGATAATAACTACTTAACTAAAGGGCGCTACCTAAGACTAGGTAGTAATAGCTACCTAACTATCTTAAGGTTAGTATAGTGTTTTAGAAAGTAAGGCGTATTTAGCTAGTAATAGCCTTATAAATTATAAAAGAATAGTTCTTTAAGATTTAGCTTCTATATAATATAAGACCTACTATTACTAATACTTCTTTATAATTTTAATAGTCTATTATATTAAGGCTAACTAAGAAATCTTATGCCGGTAGTATAAGGGGTATACTAAGGGGGCTAGTATAGATATAGCTATATTTATATTTATATATAAGCACCTTACTTACCTATTATATTACTAGTTATTTTTTCCCTCCTTTATATTACTTCTCTTTATCCCTTTATTAATAGTAAGGTTTACGTTTCTTCTTTTAGCTAGGTTACTTACTATAATATTAAAAGGTATAAATTAACTATTATAGCTAATTTAATAGCCTTACTACTAGGCGTTAAGTATATAACCCCCTAGCTAAGTAATAGCCTCCTCTACTTATATTATATACTAAGTAAGGTAATTAAGCTACTTATTATAATAGGCCTCCTCTTATTAATAGTATTAATTTAATAAAACCTTTATATAGCTATAAATAGCTAGCCTAAAGGGGATAAGAATAGCCTTATAGTTAGCTATATATAGTATATAGTATACCTTATAAGCCTTATATATCTTATACCTAGCCTTACTTTAGCCTTATATTTATTACTACTAGTAGGTACTTATAACGTTATCTTTAGTTATAGCCTATTAGAGAATATATTAGTAAGGTAGTACTTACTACTTATAGAAGCTATATTTATATACTAGCCTATTATTACTTACTTATATATTATAATATAAATCTAAACTATTAGTAGCTACTACTTTTACCTTATAAAGTTTACTAGTAATTAACTTTTATATAAGTATAAGTAGGTAAAAAAAATAAAGTAAAACCTATTACTTATAAAAGACTTTACTATAAAAATTAGTAAGGTATAGCTTAGTAATAGTAAAGTATTTACTATTAATATAGCTAATATACTTAATAATCCCTTATAAGCTAAATTACTAAAGTATATAATAGTTACTATATTTAATAACGCTATAAAGGCCTTTAAGTAGGTTACTTAATTTAGCCTAAAGTAGTAGTAGTAAATAGTTATAGGCGTAGTTAGCCTAGAGGTTAAGTGTTAGCAGCTAGTTATTTTTAATATAAGTAGCTTACTTAGGTAGTAGACTTTTTATTATAGTAGTAATAGATTTATAATAACTTAGCCTTATATAGTAGTATTTTAATATAAAGATTATATAGTATAAGGTAGTTAAATATTTTATAAAATAATAGTAAAAAGTTTTTTTATAGTAAATATAGTAAAAGAAGTATAATACTTTTATCTTATTATTTATAAGGCTATAAAAAGTATTATATATAGTATATTACTTAATAGCTAAATTATTAGTAAGAAAATAATATAACTACTAGTTAGCTTAGCCTTTTAATATATATAAGTAAGTAGTAATAATATTAGTATTACTTTTTTTAGTAAAAAAGTAGCTAATTAGTATCTAGCTACTTATAGTATTTCTAACTATAATAGTATAAAGTAGCTAGCTAAGCTAGTTAGTTTAGTAAGTAGTATTTATTATAATAAAAAAGCTATATTACTATAATAATATAAGGCTAGCCTTAGATACTTATATAAGCCTTTTACTTACCTTATTAGCTTATTAGACTATATAATACTAAAATTAAAGGTTATAAGTATAATAATAAGCCTTTACTTTAGTAACTTATAAGTATTATAAATAGCTATAGCTAATAAGGTAAGAATTAAGGTAAGTAGCTAGCTAGTAGTAGCCTATATTATATATAGCCTAATAAGAAAGCTAATAGCTACTTATAGTTACTAGCGCCTACTTAATAGCCTTATAGTAGCTAAAGTAGCCTTATAGTATATAGTAGACTTTAGTAGCTAAATAACTAAAAATAACTTACTTAGTAGTAAGGTCTTTAATACCTTATAGTAAGTAAATTTAATTAAGGCGTTTAAGTATATAGTTATAAAGGCTAAGGCTAACTTATAAAATAACTACTATTATAATAAAGTTACTTACTTATATCTTAATAACTTTAGTATATATAAAGTAACTAGTACTTACTTATATAGTATAGTTATATATTATTATAGCCTTACTACCTTAAGGCTTATTAACTTTAGTTAACTAAAGTAAGTAGTAATAATAAGTAGTAAAAGTACTACTAAGGGTATAGCTTTAAGCTTTTATTAAATTAAAAAAATTACTAATAAAAGCCTATATTTATTTAAATTTAGTAGTGCCTACCTTTATAGGCTTAGTAAAGTAAAAATATTACTTATAGTAAGTAATAAGGTTATTAAGTATAATAATAAGGCTAGCTTAGGTCTTAGGGGTATATAAAGTAAGTCCTAATAAAGTAAATAGTTAGATAAGTAAGTAAGCTAGTAAAAAGAATATTTTTATTATTAAGCTTTTTCTAAAAGTCCTTTAGGTTAAAGTTAATTATATCCTCCTTATAGTTAGGTAGTAATAGTAGCTAAAAGGTTATAGATTTATTATATAGTATATTAATTATATTAGCTTTACTAGTAGTTAATTAAGAGAAATCTAGCACTATATTAATATAAAAAAAATAATAATAATTAGGTAAAAGGTTAATTAGTAATAAATAATATAGTTATAATAAGTCAGTAGTAATAAGTTATTATTATTATTATATATAGGTAAGTAAATAAATAAGTAAATAGATAAGTAGTTAGATTAACCCTAAAAAAATAAAGAGAATATAGTAGACCTATATATACTAGTTTAGCTAATTAGATTATCTAAATATATCTATTATTTTAATATAATTAATTATTAATTAAAGTGTAGTACGTTAGGGACTGTGGGCCGCCCTGCAGATGTGTCTGCCTGGTAACTGTAACCTATTTATCTAGAGCTTGCTAATGTGTGCCGACACCTGATTAATTGCCGCCTTCTTCACCCCTCGACACTGGCACCTTGTCAATCGCTGCCGGCCGCATTGCATCGAGTTCGTCGGCAAACCTCTGACCTCGTCGCGCACGCGGACATGTCACGACCCTCGTCGGATCCCACACACACGGGACGATGCACATCGTCATCATCCATCATCCATCACCGCTTACTTTGTCGCTTCGTTTCTGCGTCTTCGCCCTTGCTGGCAACCCATCATGTACAACCCCCCCCCCCCCCCCGAAATTGCACAAGAATCGAGAAAGGGAGCCAACGCATCTTACTTGCTTTTGTTTGTCATCTGGCGCCTCGCGGACCGGACCATTCCAGACCGGACCATTCCAGACCAGACCAGACCAGACCACCGGCCTCCCCCAGCCCAGTCTTCTCGTTGCCCCCCTTGTGCACCATGTTATCCACCAACTGGTTGTCTCTCTCTTGTCTCTCGCCTAATATAAGATGTGTTGCAAACTCGAAATCATTGACTGACACTCGAGACGCTTGACACCACACTTTACCCCTCTGGTCTGGCGACCTTGACCGCCCACCACACACACACAGACACCCTCATTCTCACTCACACTGGCGTCACCTCCAGTCCGCTCGACCCAGCCAGGCCAAACTCAACGCATGCTCGTTTGCTCGGCTCACACCCGTGCCGCTGCCACGCCCCTCATCACACGATCGACGCGCGCACACACAGACGCACACACCGCGCAAGTACTTATTGAACCCGGCCGTGGTTCATTGGCTGGGCCAGCTTCCGCCCAAAAGCCTCGAATCACGACGCTAAACAACTTGTCTTGCTTTTTCCGAGCGCCTCCGCCTGTCGCCTCCCCTATTCGTGCTCAATTGTCTTGCTTGCGTCCGTCCCTTTTAAGCTTCTGTCGCCCTTTCCTGAGCGGTAACCCCATGCTTGACGGAGGACGGACCTCATCTCCACCCACGCTCTCGGAGCTGAAGACTCTCCATAAAGAAGGCTTGCTTCCATGTGTCGCAGGATCCATCCATCATAACACTCTTACCCATCTCGTCTTGCACTTGGCCGCCCACTCTCCTCCTGGGACCATGAGAGAAATATCTCGATAGCTATCGACCGATTGCGGCTATTCAACCAAACGAACCCCGATTTTGCGTGCTGCAACCAGCATCCGCCAAGCTCAAGTTCCGGATAAGAGTGTTATCCACTTACAGCATATCGAGTCGAGCAACACAGCCCGTCGGGCAGGATATCTCCCGCCAAATCGTTTCATTATTATAGCAAGGCTTACACGACCATTATCAGTTCGGGCCGTTGAAGAAGCGAGCTTTGCACAGTGGAGGATACTTGGGTGGAAACCAAACGACCACAGACCAACGGCACTGAATTGGACGGGCAGCAGAAGAAAGGGCTTGAGACCAACCCGACAACTCAAGTTCTTAGTCCCGCAAACCTCAAGACACGAAGGCTTCCTCCTCCACCACCAACCACGACCATGAGGAATCCGAAGCCTCCCACGTAAACCGACTTCTTCCCTCCATTCCTAGGCTGCGACTGGCCGCCAGGAAACCACAACCGCCATGGCACCACGGCCTCGAGACAGCGACACATCGCAACCCCCCCCCGCTGCGTCTGTGCTAGAGGTTATCGCTGCCCGCCTGACCCCGGCCTATGAAAGCATGCCCAGCGGCCTGACCGACCGGCAATGGACAATTATACAGTCTACATCACTAGCTGTCGCCGCGCTAAGTTTGGCATCTGTCACCCTCGCCTTTTACTGGTTCTCTCGCATGAGGCGGAGCTTCAGACATGAGTGAGTTCATCTCGGCCCACCGGTGCCCCCCCCCCCCCCCCCCCAGCTTCAGACCAAGCCAGGGATGGCTGGCTTCGAGGTGGGAATTCCGTGCTGACAAACAACCAGCTTGATCATGCTCCTTATGTCGAGTGACATGCTCAAGTCGCTATGGTTCATCATCTTCCCCATCGTCGACTTGAAGACGAGTTCAGTCGCATCAGGGTCCTCGTTCTGCCAAGCGAGTGGTTTCTTCCTCGCCGTCGGCATAGAAGCATCCGATATCGCCGTCGTTCTCATCGCTCTCCACACAGCAATCTACATATTTCGCCCCCGACACTCTGGACGCCAGAGCGGCCTGTATCCCCACCGCCGCCTTGCGTTTAGCGTCTTCGCGCTCTTTCCACTCCTGATGGCCTCTCTGGCCTTTGTCAACTCTCCCGGCTACGCGAACAATGGCGAATACTGCTACTTGCCAACCCGTCCTGAGTGGCCGAGGCTCGTCCTCAGCTGGGTGCCACGCTATGTGATTCTCCTCACCATCGTTGCGCTGTACGCCTACATCTACATATACGTCACGCTGCGCATGCGGCGTTTCGGTCGCCTCAGTGCCATGAGGCGAGCCAGTGCGACACAGATACCAGACGACGGGCACTGGGCTCACATCCCTTCGGTGCCTGCCACGCCGACCTCTCGCCGTGGATCCGAGACCTCCATGGAGGGCTCGGAGCAACGTCGTAACTCGTCCGAAGCCACAACAATGACGGCCGAGATCGAGCTCCTACACGGCCGTCAAAAGATTACGTGGAACTGGCCGGCATACGGCACCGACGACGACGGGCAGATTCCCGTGTCGGATGTCGTCCTTTCGCCCCGGGCGTTGGAACCCAGCGCCAGCCCCCGTTGCCCCACCTTCGAGCCCATTTCGCCTCCCCCCCAGAGCTACATCCGCCGCGACACCGCCGATATGAGCCCTCCAACACCCCACTACCAACGACAAGCAAGTCTCACCACGTACTGGCAGCCGCCGAGCAGTCCGAACACGAGCGCCCGCGCCAAATCGCTGGCCAACATCTGGTCGATTCTCCGCCGGGGGACGACCCTCGAATCGGACCCCGAACACAACGCAACCCCCTTCCTCTTCCACCCGGCCATGGACGGCACGGGCATGACCAAGACCCGCGACAAGATCCGTCGTCAGCTGCGGCTGCTCTTCGTGTACCCCCTCGTCTACATCCTCATCTGGGCGGTGCCATTTGTCGCGCACGTCATGCGCTGGGACAACCCGGAGGACGCGGGACCCTTCCCCGTGGTGTTGCTGTCATTAGTGAGCCTGTCAATACAGGGCCTGGTGAACTCGTGCCTGTTTTGCGCCGTGGAGAAGCCGTGGATCGATAGGCGGGCCAGGTACAGGAGGGCGCCGTCCAAGAAAGGGCGGGACAAAGACGAGATCCGGCAACGGGCCGGACGAAGGACATCATCATTAGCGTAGTCATGTTTCTGCTTTGCATGTGTCTTTTTTTTCTCTTTGTTATTTTTATCTCTCGCCTTGATACCACAATGAATTGAATGAAACTTTATTCGACCTGATCACTCAGGCATGCCATTTCCTCGAGTCTTCCTGTAAAAAATGTCTTCTGAGGCCTCCTGCCGTTCGATCACCGTTCAACACATGTGGCCAGGTTGTAATCAGGGATGGCCAAGGTTTGCGGGTAGGGAGTAGTGTCGGCAACATCCGAATCCGCAGAGTCCGATGGCCGTGCGGGAGGGGGGGCGGGGCATGGCCGGCGGCAGACATCGGGCCTCGCTTGGGCCCCACACACAACCCGCACCGTCCGAGAAAGAGGGGGGGTAGGAGGCGGCGGGAGGGCCGAAATTCTGCCCACGGCGATGAGAACGTCTTCCCCTCTCCCCCCTCTTGTGACCACTTTCTCCCATCCGCCCCTTTGCTGTGCAAAGGCTAACCTCGCAACCTTCTGGCTTGGTAGTAACGCGGCCGGGCTCGTCCCATGCTCCTCAAATCAATCAATCAGGCCAAGGTTTATGAACCAGATGGCATTAACTCTCCTAAATCTGTCTGCCCTCCCCGTGTTCTATGTCGAGAATGCCCAAATCCCTGAGGCCGCGAATCGCTTAACGAGGCAAAGATAAGACCCCAAGGCACATTGCCATCCTCAAAAGATACCATCCTCAAAGTCTTGTCTCGGGCCCGAAAAGCTCTCAATCAAATAGCAAAAAAAGAAAAGAAGAAGAAATCAGAAACCCAAACCGCGAATCATGATAGCCAGTGTGCATTGCAAAAGAACGCAACCCATGTTGATCCAAACGTCAGATCCGCGACACCAGCGGCACTCGCAGCAACCACCAGACTCTAAATGCTAATACCAAAGAAGTCAGCCAATGTCCATAATGAGCGTGGTGCTTTGATGCCAACTTACGAAGGCTCAACGGGCTCCGCCGTAGTGCTTCCGGCCAGCAACGCATCGCATGCTGCGTGCCTTGTTGCGGTGACATACTAGCGCTGCAAAGTCCGCGCATCGTCGGAAGCATCAGATCAAGGATATGTCCGCTGCTTGACCAATATCCGTTCTCGGCTTCCCTACCGTGGCTGCTGCGTTGTTCGCCAAACCCTGGCAAGCTGGCCACCCAGCGTATCTCAAAGTAATGAAGAAAAAAAATGATAAAAGTATCACGTGTTCTTTGTTGTAGTGTTGCTTGACGCTCATTCTGTTGATTTGTTGAAAGCTTCGAAATGTCTCGTAGTTTGTTGCTCATGCATGTTGCTGTGCTCCGTCTCTGAGCCAACTAGACGGTAATGCTCCCCGTATCGTGTAAAGGAGCCAACCATATGGGAATTGGCTTTGTTTCATCTCTCGTAACCGCGTCTTTTGGCCACGAGACTATTCGTCATCCTCGTCATCCTCGTACTCGACCACGTCGTCGGGGACAACAAGGTCGTCCAGATCACTCTCCTCTTCTTCATTCCTAGGAGAGTCTTCGTAGTCATCGTCGTAATCATCAGGCTCAATGTGCATGACGCCACCCTCACGCCACGTCACCCTGCCCAGGAGACTGGCAATCTCTTCCAGGCCAATCTTGGGCGCTCTCACCGTTTCGTCCTGAAGGGCGTTGTCGATGGCGAGGATCTTTCCAACCTGCATTTCAAGCATACGATTCTCGATAGGAGTTTTGACGACGAAGCGCAAAAAGTGAGTCTCCTTGCTCTGGCCGATGCGGAATACGCGAGCAAAAGCCTGCTGCTCGACGGCGTGGTTCCACCACAGCTCCATGAGGATGACTCGGTTACCCCGCTCAAGGTTGAGACACTGCCCTCCCGCACGCAGGGAAACAATCAGAACCTTCACCTCTTCGCCATTCTGGAATTCGGAGACGGCTTTGTTGCGCTGCTCCGTGTTCTGCTTGCCGCTAAGGTAAGCGAAACAGATGCCTTCTGATTCTAGAACGCGACCGATGATTTTCATGACCACAGCGAATTGACTGAAGACTGAAGACAAATGAGTTAGGGACAGACACATCAAGCAAAAAAGAGATAATCAAGCGAAACTTACTGATAATCTTGTCCTCTGGAGCTTCTGCCTGCCACCTCAAGACAGTTTCCTTGAGCGCCGTCATCTTGGCGCTCGGAGTTAAAGGCACGTTGGGCCTCCTGTCGCTGATCTGCAAGAACCGGCTTGGTTTCTTGTTCCTCTCGCAGGATTCAGTATGCTGGAACTTGTTATAATCAAATCCCCTTGTATAGTCCTTTTCATTGACGCTTTCCTGGGACATGTCACTGTCATTCTCACGCTCTTCGTCAGTCTCGTCGCCATTGAAAGTCTGTAATGGCTTCAGAGGGCCAATGATCCTGCGACATTTAGGGCATGTTCTGCTCTTACGGGTTGTTAGTAGTGCGTAGTCTCCTCGTATATGCCCTAAATACATACCTTATCTGCTAAATGTGCCATCACACAGCGATTACAAAAGTAGCAGCCGCACTTGTTACGTCAGTACAAAGCTCTAAATCTGGAAAAATCTTGTATCGAACTCACCCGTCCCTTGACTGGCTTCTTGGGGGGCTTTTTTTTGCACACAACGCAAGCGACAGCCTCAAGCTCCTTGAGTCTCTCCAGGTACTCTATCTGCTTGGTCATGTCGAAATGCAAGCCAAATTCGCTGCGGCCAAAGGGATCGAGTTGAGGCTCGTCTTCGGCGATGGGGTCTGTGGTATCCAATTCGACTTCGGGATTTACGCTGGAAGAGGCGAGTTTCTGAGGAACCATGCCGTCCTCGTCCTCTTCTATCTCGTCCTGACTCTCCACTTCGTCAGAGTCGTCAGTTACAATTGCGCCGTTTCCCGTGATGGTTGTGTTTTGGAGATTGCTCGTTTGTGCTTCGTCTTGCTCGTCGTATTCGCCGAGGCGGACTTTCAAGGCTTCCAAGCTTTCTTTGCGGGCATCTTCGAGCCTTTCTTGCTCCACCTTTTCTGCTTCTTCGAATACTTTCGGGATGCGCTCGTCGCGTACCTTTTGTCTCTGAGTCCATGGGCCAATTTGGGAGTAGACGGTAGCACCGCCTTTGAGTGCCTCTAGCTTTTCCTTGGTTGCTCGCAAGTCTTCAAGAGAGAAGTGGTCTCTCATCACACTCTCGAGCAAAAACGGATGGGTTGCGGCTTGTCTCAAACGGAGCAGCATAACCAGGTAGAATCTGATTCGAACTACAGCTGTTCCCTCCTCCAGGTCATGGTTTAGCTCGTTTCTAAACCATCTTTCCACCATTCTACCTTCTGTAAGTTTATACGAAGGATTCCGCAAACAGGTAGTTGATCTTACCGGAAAACCACCACTTCTTCTGCAGAAAGGCTTAGATACTGGTGCGTCGGATGCGTATTCGGCAAGTTCATTATTGGCTGGCCAAGAAAGTAATCCCCTTGTGTTCTGAACATGTCAGTAGCTCTCGATACTGTTTTGGTGGCTTAAGGATTACAACCTTCTGTACATAACCTGGTGGGCAAGTCTATCACGCCTTTTTCGAGCCTTGGGCTTGTTCAAGTGGTTAGCAAACATCGATATCCAATCGTGGATTGTCATCTTACGCCGGAGTCGTATTTATCCAAATAGCCATTGAAGTCACCGATTTGTGAGCATCGTATGAACTTTAGGTAAGAGAAAAGCTCTTCAAAAGAATCAGTCAATGTACGTCGAAGTATCAGGAGGGAAAACTTGCCGGAAGATGCATTGATGAGTGGAGTTCCACTCACTGCCCAACGATGCTTGGCATTGAGCTCACAGCACGCAAACGCCGCTTTGGTTTGATAGTTAGCGTATGAGATTTGTAGAAACGAAGTCATTGTAACTTGCCATGTGTCAAGTGGTTCTTGATGCAATGGGCTTCGTCAAGGACAACTCGGTACCATTGAATGCGATGAAGAACCCCCGTTTGCTCTTCCAGCCAATTTTTGTACTCATCTGGATCTGTAAGTTTCTTCTGCATGTTTTCTCTGTCCTTTGCCGAGGGAGTACTGGCTCTAAGCTGGTGGTAAGTTGCAAAACTGTTGACAAGGTTAGGTCTCAGAAGCACGAAAGCTCCCATTCTGGATCCGGGTATGAACTCACACAATGTTGAAGGATGACAGAGAGTCGACGTCCATCTTATCTCCAGCCTTGAAGTGCACGATTCTCCTCGAAAATCCCTTGTTGCAATGCTTTTTGACCTCGGACATCCACTGGCTAATCATTTGCCCCGACGGACAAATCACTAGTGTTGCTCCCTTCCCTGCATCTTTCAAACTCTCCGAGGCTTGATTGCCCACAATGCAGGATAAAGTTTCAAGGGTCTTTCCCAGCCCCATGGCATCAGCGAGAATGCCTCCTCTTGGCAGATTTGGCGTTGTTTTAAGCTCCCGGCCCATCATCCAGGCTCCCATGATGAGCTGGTGATTCAGTAACGGGGTAATTAAGCCTCTGACTTCCCATTTCCCGCCTTTGGCGTGAACTGCACGAGCACCCCATGCTTTTGTGGACTGTTTGAGCTCCTGCTTCTGCTTGACAATAAGAACCTTATCAAAATACTCAGGGGCGGCTTCTTGCATCTGCTTCAACTGGTCGTCCGTTCTGGTTGCTGTGATAGCGGGTGCTGCGGGTAAGTCTCCCTGGTCCGCTCGATGTTGGATAGCGTCGTACCGCTCAAGCAGTTCTTCGATCTGACGATTGTTCTTTTCTTCCGGATCGCTATCATCACTGTCTGAGCCTTTTGCCTGGTTGGTCTTGTTTTTAGCGTTGTGGGCGCCACCACGTCGCCCCTGGTTTTTGGCATTTCGCTCTTGTTCTTTCTTCTCTCTTCTCGCCCAGTATTCTGCCGCATCTGCTGCAGGGGCTTGTCTCTTCCGTCTCTGCCTCTTGTCATTTTTCTGTCTAGGTGCCTGTTCATGGGGGCTGGGATCAGGCAATGTGAGGGTAGTTGGGGCCTTCGCGGGTTGACTGAGCTGAGCCATGATGTGCATCATCTCATTAAGCTCAGAGCTGGTCAGAGCACCTTTCAGAGCTTTGGACTCTAGCTCTTTTTTTCTTCCCTTGAGTGACTTGAGGGAAGACTGGCTTCCCAAGTCTAGAAGCATGGGTTCGTCATTGAACAATGGCTCTTGTTTGACGGCGGTGACCAAGTCAATGACACTTGGAGGCCGCGGAACGGACCACTTCGCCTGCGCTTCAGAAGAGGCAGCAGCGTGGTCGATGATCATGAGTTCGGGTTCTTCGTCTATATCGGGCTCAGACTTGATTCTGATCTTGTCCTTCTCGGGTAGAGCGATATCGTCCTGTCCTTCCGGTTTCGTAACGAAAAGGTCAGACAACTCAGCAGAATGGGACGGGCAAGCAACATGCCCGGTGTTTCTCAGTACGTGGTTCTCGTTGCGTATATCATTGGTCGAGTCTTCGATTGATTCATGAAAGAAGTCGAGTTCCTGAATCTGATCACGGTTTGCTCTTCTCGGAGTCTTGTAATGAGACGGCATATCAATGTCTGAATCGGACTCGGTATCATCTAGGAAAGGGCCCTTCCGCCGACGAGCGGACTTGTTATGATCATCTGCGGTCGATGACATTGTGAGCGATAGACAGGGAGACTGGTAATGACAAGGAATGCGGAGGGGAAGTGGCAGAAGAGGTCGATGGATTATCCACGTATCCTTTGAGATGCAGGTTCGTATTTTGTGCCTTCCACCTTCGGAGAGAGTAGTCGTAGAAGCAGAACTTGGCGTTGCCGTAAGAAAAGGCAAGAGGGTTACGCGCAGGGGTCGGCACGGATGATGTCGAAGTTAGCACCTCAAGGATGTGAAGGTAGGAACGGAAATGAAACCCCAAGACGACGCGAAAGAAACTGCGCGGAGGTAGGGATGCGTCGCTTTGGAAGGGAGGAAGGGTGTGAGGAGGAGGAGGGTGAGGTAAAGGTTGGAGGGGAGGAGGGGGTTGGAGGTGGAAGAAAGCAGGCGAGCTATCTAGGCATGAGGGTCTTCTTGTAGTCGATTGGATATGAGCGGGCAAGACTGCTCCGAGGGAAGGAGGGAAGGAGGAAAGGAGGGAAGGCCTTTCCCCTGAACAACTCGCATTTGCCGTGCTATTAGAAGATGGAAAGGCAAGTGATGAGGAATCAAGTCTGCCTTGGTCAGTTGAGCCTGTGATCGTTCTTTGTCGGTAAAGGAATATCATGAATCTGACCGAAGCGGGTTCTATGAGAAGGAATCTTCCACGGTGGTGACGATGTCTCTTAGGACGGTCTCACGATGGGACAGACGACCATGGGTGCGACAATGCAGGGACAACGACTACTAAAAACGTTGGTATCTAAATCAATCGCTAGTCTATTCAGATAAACACCCAATAGAGGAAGAAACATGTCATTCTCTGAGGAAACGCAGGAAACCGCGGGCGATGTTAACGCCGTCGTGCTCGATGCCTGCACGGTTGATGGCCTCGGCGAAGGTCTCGTCGTCGAAGACGCCCGCCTTGTGACGGACGTTGAGGATCTCGCTGACGATGGGGCCGGTGAACTCGGGGTGGCCCTGGACGGTGATGAACCTCTTTGGAGAGTAGAAGCCCTGCACGGGGCACAGATCCGTGTAGGCGAGGGACTCGGCGCCGGGAGGGTTGGCCGCGACGACGTCCCGGTGCATTTGGTGGATTCTCTGTGATCGCGTCAGCTCTGTGCGTCTCTCTCTCTCTCTCTCTCTCTCACGCGCGCGCGCGGGGTCTCAGTGAGAAAAGGAGAGGGGGTGGAGGGCAGGAAGGTTCTTACCATCTTGTCCAGCTTGAAGATCTCCTTTCCCTTGGGCGTGAGGTTGACGTCGACCACGGCCACCTCCCAGCCCAGGTCGCTCCTCTTGACCTCGACGCCCAGCGCGCGGGCGGTGATCTGGTGGCCGAAGCACACGCCAATGACCCTCACGCGGCCGCTGTCAATACAGCTCTTGGTGAAGTCGACCAGCTTGAGGATCCAGGGGTCGTTGTCGAAGGCGTTGTGCTTGCTGCCGGAGATGAGGATGGCGTCGACGGAGTCCAGGTCCGGGTAGGTGGCGTCGTCGCCGACGACGTGGTAGACGGAGAGGTCGACGATGCTGTCGAGCGGCGCGGGCGGGTCGTCGGCCAGGGCGGCGGTGCGGAGGAGCGCCGTGAAGACGCCGCCGTAGCCGCCGTACTCGGCGTTGGTCTGCGGCTGCGGCGTGTCGGCCTCGAGGATGGCCAGGCGGATGCGGGGTGGCTGAGAGCCCATCTTGGTGTAGGGGTTTGGTGTTTGAAAGCTGTATATGTATATATACCTAGGTGGGTAGCGATGCGTATATACAGAGTATGTATTGGATACGAAACGAAGAATGAGGTTCGGCGATATCTGGGGGAGCGAACGTTGGATATGTACGGTAAAAAAAGATAAGGGTTGACACGAAGACAAAAGACGACAAAGGATGAGATGAAAGAAGAGGCCTTGTGACAAAGCGTTTATGTGTGAGTGTGTCGAGGTTGCCGGCTCCCCGCCCCGACCGCGGTCCGGCATCGATGGGTAGTGGAGGGGTCGCGGGGGCGCGGTTGAGTCAGTTGTGACAATGTCGCTGCCAATTGCTGGAAATGTCCCCATTAGCTACCACCGATAGCGGGGTGAAAACTGGCGCGATAAGAGACCGCGCTCGCTTGTGATAAGACACCTAGGTGCAACCTTTGGACGTCATCCAGGAACATAGGAAGTCTTCTCATTCCATCCCGGCTCCAAATCACAAGGAACCGCGCGCTTCAACACACTCCGTCGGGGCGGCAATCTGCATGCGTCATCCTCCCATGCATTGTACTGTGCATATCGATTCCACCTAACCCGAGCACTCTCCCCCGTCGACACTCCCTCCGTCCCTCCCGCTCCAATGCCTCCCAGGGTCCCCCTCGGCGCCTTTCTCGCCCGCGCGAGATCGGCCCTGACCGCCCCCGCATCGCAACGTGCAAGCCCCTTGACCCTCGTCGTCGGCAACGAATCCGCAGGTACGAGAATGCCAGCGGCCCCTTGAATCCCAGTCCTCGGACCAACAAGGGCGAGGGGGGTTGGGTTGTGGAGGAAGAAGAAGCAGAAGGGAAGAAAAGAAGAAAAAACGCTGACATGCTTCACCGTTGCCAAACGCAAAAAAGACCTCGACTCCCTCTGCTCCGCCGTCGTCTACGCCTACCTCCGCACCCACGCCCCGCCGCACACCCTGCACGTCCCCGTCTCGAACCTCGCCCGCGATGACCTCAAGCTGCGCACCGAGATGACCGCCGCCCTGGCCCACGCCCGCCTGGCGCCCGAGGACCTCCTCACCCTCGACGACCTCCCCGCCGACCTCGCCCCCCGCGACACGCGCTGGGTGCTCGTCGACCACAACGCCCTCACCGGCGACCTTGCCGCCCGCTTCGCCGGCCGCGTCGTCGGCTGCGTCGACCACCACGCCGACGAGGGCGCCGTGCCGCGCGACACTGGCGACGAGCCCCGCGTCGTCGAGACGTGCGGCAGCTGCTCGAGCCTCGTTGTCGAGCACTGCCGCCCGGCGTGGGAGGAGGCCCTCGCCGATGCCGACGCCCGGGACGACGCCGACGTGGACGCGCACCTGGCCCAGCTCTCCCTCGCCGCCATCCTGATCGACACCACGAACCTCAAGTCCAAGGACAAGACCACCGACAAGGACGTCGCCGCCGTCTCCTTCCTCGAGCGCCTCGCCCCGGCGCCCTACTCCCGCGACGCCTTGTTCGACGAAATATCCGCCGTCAAGGAGGACATATCATCGCTGAGCTTCCGCGACGTCTTCCGCAAGGACTACAAGCAGTGGGAGGACCAGAGCGCCGACGGGGGCGGCGGCCGTCAGCTCATGGGCACCTCGGCCGTCGTGCAGAACCTTGGCTACCTCGTCGACAAGGCCGGCGGCGACGAGCAGGCGATGCTGCGCGAGTTCAGGAGGTGGGCCGAGGAGAAGGCGCTGGACATCGGGGTCATCATGACGACGGCGCACCCCGGCGGCAAGCTCGAGAGGGAGGTGCTCGTGTGGGCGTTCAACGAGCCCGCCGTCGCCTCGTGCAAGGCCTTCTACGAGCGCTGCAAGGGGGAGCTGGGCCTCGCGCCGTGGCGCGGCGGGCGGCTGGACGACGAGGCGCGCGAGGGCGAGTGGCGCGCCGCCTGGACCCAGGCCAACGTCGCCGCCTCCCGGAAGCAGGTGGCCCCCATGCTGCGGGAGGCCATCAGGGGCGGCGCGCGGCTGTGAAGCGGGCCACGACCTGGCTGGTCTCGGGGGTTAGTATATGCGGCGAGAAAGCGCCGGCTAGCTGGAATGGCTAGAGGCTTGTTCCGATTGAACGGCCATTTAGACGTCTTCCATCGAGTACCGAGTACACCGAGGTCGTTTGTTCGATCCCGATCAAACCTTGAAGACCATGTGTGGACAAATACTCGAGATGGATATGCCTCCTCGACTATCTGGAACATCAATAAAAAATATCATGAAAAAAAATTCAAATATCCATCCAAATTCCTCCCACAGAGTCACAAAGTCATCGAACAACACTAGACTTGGAACAATTGTGTCTTGTTTTTAAATATTCTGTTCCCATCACCCGTCTTTGGACGATGGAGATAGTATGGTACATGATTTTTCTTCCCCCCCCTTCCTCCCCATGTTTGTGTGTTGTGGGAGATTCCATCCTACATCATCGACCCATGTCAACGTCATCCTCTATTCGCCCCCCCCCCCCCCCCCCTCCCTTTTCTCCTACTTCCTCTCTATTTATACAGCCATCTGGGTTAGACCCCCCTTTTTCTTTTCTTTTGAAACGCCTCCGTTGTACGCCAAATTTGTACTGGTTTTTGTTTTTTTTCTTCTTCTCAACAACGCCTTCGCAGATGCAAACCGGAAATTTATGCAAATTCATCACCTTCTCTCATGCGTGACCGTGACTAAAAAGCAATATCCACACGTCGCGATTCGTACCATGGCAAAGGGGGAAGCCGTGTCATTTTTGTTCACGAGAAAAAGTACTCGCTTTCCTTGAGGCGCTGAACGTCAAAGTCGCCCTTCTTGGGGATGGGCGGGAAGGTCAGCGGGAGCCAGACCTGAATGGTTTTGAGCTTGGTCTTGGCCTCGGCGGTCTTGGGCCGGTTGATGATCGTCTGCTCAAAATGCGAGATCTTCATGTTGTTCAGCATCTGCTTCGCCCACTGGGAGCTCGGAGACTCGCCGTCACCCGCTTCCGTCTCCTCGTCGTCCTCCTTGGCGATCTCGTCGTCGATGCCCTCCTCGGTCTCGGCCGCGAGGGCGCCCGCATCGTTGGCCTTGTCAGGGATGGCGCCGAGCCCAAGGCCGTCCATGTCCTCAGGCTCGGCGAGGGCCTCAGTGGCCGCCATCTCCTCAAAGATGCTGGCCGGCGTGACCATATTCCGGCCCTCGGCAACCTGCTCGGGGTCGGAGGAACGGAGAAGGGTTTGTCTCTTGTACTCCATCAGGAGCTCCTCCCTGGATGACATCCTTGACTTCTTACGCAACGCGGTGATCTTTTTCTCCACCGGGGTTCCCTCGTTAACCTTGGCGAGGTAGATCGAGCCGCGGTACCGGGCCTCGAACTCGGCCGAGAGACGGCCGATGACGTCTTCCTCGTGGATCCTGACAAAAGCGTCACGGAGAACACGGTTCATGACGTTGACGTCGGCGGCGTGGGTCCAGAAAGAATCGTGGACGGCGGCGAAGTCAAGGCCGAGCTCGTGGCACTCGAGCGCGGACAGGAGCATGTGCGTCGCGTCGAGCGAGTGAATGAAGTTAGGAGGGAAGGCCTGGAGCTGCTTCTTGCGGTGGACGGGGTCGGAGCGCTCAGGGACGGTCAGGGAGAGCTCTTGGAGGGAGGTCTTGATGATGCGGGTGCCACTCTTGCGGTACGGTTGGGCAATGGGCATGCGGAGGGGAGTAGTCCAAACGATCGTGGCGCGGAACTGGGCCAGCAGGTCGTCGGTAGTCGTCTTCTTGTCACCGGCTCTTGCCGTCTTTGATGGCGAAGGCAAGAGGTTGTCGTTGCTGATCCGCTCCAGCTGCTCGGCTGACAGGGCCCTACAGACACGTCCGCCAATCTCACCGAGCCAGTGCTGAATGTCATGGGCGCCGCCGAACATGGACGACAGGGCCTTGAACACCAGCGTGGCAACGTACGAAGCAAGGACGATACTAGAGAACCCAGACTCCTCGTACAGGTTCGGGTACAACGCGTCGAGCTGTTTGCAGACCTGCTTCTTGGCACCGGCAAAGGTGACGCCGTAGACGTTGGTCATGACAGTTTGCTTGACGACCTTTCTGGTGATCTTTCCGTTCATGACCAGCCCGAATGCGTTGCCGGCCTCGGCATCCTTGGCAATGTGCTCCTTGACGATGTTGGCGACAGCAGAGTAGACGTCGGCAGGCTTGTCGCCGGGCTCGAGGTTGACCTGTCGTGCACCCCACGAGTCACCGCCGAGGGCGGCGTAATGCTGCAGACCGTTGCAGGTGCCGTCCTGGTGGATAGGGAGATGGGAGACGAACTTTGTGGGCTCCGGGGATTCGAGAGCGGCCTTGAGCTCGTAGCACACAGCGAGACATTGCCACGGGTCTTCGGCCTTCAGCCACCACCTGTTGCCATCAAGCGGCTTGTTTGCCGAATCGAAGATGTTGACCAGGTTGTCCATGGCGAACGACTCTCTGTCCTTGAGGCTGGCCTTGTCGAAACCGAAGACGTTGGCCAGGTGGACCTTGAGCCATTTGAGGCCATCTTCGCCCAGTTCCTTGCCCCTGGCGAAGCGGAGGATGCCACGGACGTGATCAGCACCCATGTGATTGAGATAGGTCGGCAGGGGATAGGCGCGGCCACGGAAATCGATGTTGTGAGGGAAGTAAAAGGTCTGGTTCCGGAAGGCTCGGGCGATTTCCAGCTGGAAGTTCATGAAGCAGCGGACGGAGTGCAAACCGCCTCGTTCGTTGTCCGCAGCCTTGACGGCTCTGACCCAGTTTCTATGCGCCATCGGGTCGTCGGACGCCTCGGGTTCGGGGGGTACGGGAATATCAGGGTTCAATGCGGGAAGGTTGGCCAGAGCCTCGCCAGTGTTCCAGGCCTCGAGCATGACATTGAGAACAGGTGTGTTGACCCGCCATGCTGTCTTGCCCAAGACATCCAGACCCTTGAAGACCTGGTCCATGTCTCCGCGAGCGATGGCCGCCTCGCTATACAGCTTCTGGTCCTTGCCACCCTGTTTGATGCGAACCAGGTTCGCTCTGCTTTCCAAGAAACCGCCCTTGTCGAACGCCTGCCATGGCTCAGGCTCAACAACCATTGGCAAATGCTTGGCAAGGTAGTCACCCTGGGGCTCTCGCTTCATAAGATTGACCAGCTCCTTGTTCAGCAGCATCATGCCAATCTTCTTACCCCTCTTCAGCTGACTGACGTGAGAGAAGGCGGGTTGAAACTGGCTGATCAGGGTCTTGGTCTCGGGATGTTCCTTCACCACCTTGATCTTGGCGGTCTCAATGAGTGCCGAGAGCAGCGCCGCGCCGACCTTGGCTTTGACCGCAGGAGGCCAAGGGGTGTCGGGGATGGGGGATGCCTTGGCCTCGGAGTCACTCAGTAGCTTAGCGGGTTCCTCGGGCGAGGTTTTGCGCTCGCGCTTGGTCATGATAACCCGCCTGCTCTTCGGCTTCGATTTCAGCTTCTGGTTTGCAGCAAGCTGGGCTCTAATATCCTCCTCGGCCAGCCTGGCGAGATTGGAGATGGCGATGGAGATGGGCATGCCTCGATCGACGCCAGCGATGGCGGTTGAGCTCAAAGTGCCCAAGATGGTGACAGCTGACAGACGGCTCGGAGTGGACAGGCGCAGAAAAGGGCCGTAGACACATCGGTCGTAGTCTTCGGGAGTCTTCTTGGGCGTGGCCTCGGCAGCCTCGATCCTGACCAGCTCGTCCTTCAGCCGAGCCTCCAAGGCAAGTTGCCAGTCGTATAGGCGGGAGTTCAGGGAGGCGTGTGAGACGGAGGTGTTGAGGCCCATCTTCTGCAGGGACTCGTTCTCCTCGCGCCACCGCTCAACAGCGGCATCGACGCAATCACGCTCAAGGCGGGCTTGGATCTCTCTCCGCTCGCGGAGAGGCAACGTCGAGATGTCGCAATTCTGGGGGATCTCGTCGAACAAAGTCAGGGTATTCTTCAGGGTTTTGAGTCCGAAACCCTTCTGGGGCGTGGCCAAGACCTCTGGCATAGATTGCCCCGGGGCAGAAGCGGTTTTGATAGCTACTTCCTCGGATGCGGACTCGATCGGGAACTCGGCAGCTTCGGCGGCTTCGGCGTCTGCCGGTACCTCGTTTTCTGTGGGGGCAAGGTTGTAGGTTGGGCAGAAGTCTGTGATGACGGCAAGATCCTGGTCGGTGAGAATGTCTGCCATTGACAAGACCTGGAGGCCAGCCTCGCCGGGGGCCAAACCCATGTATCGGGTCACCAGGCGGCGGCGTCTGTCGGGATCGTGTTCTGAGAGCAGCGAGGCCTTGAGCATGCAGGCTACGGTTTCGGCAGTCTGAGGCAAGTCCTTGGCGCGGATATTCAGCTCGTACCATTTGTGGAGGCCCTCTGCCTGTTTCCTGTCTGGCCTTGATCGCATCTGGTCGAGAGAGGCGCGGAGGTATCGGTTGTGCAGAAAGATAAGTTCTTCTCCTGGAAAGACATCGTAGGAATTCATGCGTTTGAGAACAAGTTCGGCGCGGTCGATCTTGCCAACGCGGATGCAAGCGTGGAAGACGAGGAGCATCTCCTCGGCGTCACCAGGTACGCCAGCCGGGTTTGCTCTCCCGCGAGCGGCAGCCACCGACGGCTCTTCGATGACGAGGGGCGAGGAGGGATCGAAAGCGCGCAGCTCATGAACATGGCTGCCAGCCGCGGTCTTCCGGAAAAGAGGTATGACGGCGTTGTGGAGTTTTTCAAACTGGCAGTCATTGCTGGGCTGGCGTTCGTTGACGGCAGTGGCGAGATTCCGGCTAGCACTCAAGCTGTTCCGTCTCGGTATGGGACGCGCGTTCTGCTGTGTGGTGAAGCAGCGGTGGCTTCTTTCGCTCGCATTGATCGTTGTCAAGGCGAATCGAGGAGTCGGTCGTAGGGGTCGAAAAACGGTGGCATGGTGGAGGGAAAGGCCTCTCCGGCCGTTCCTGAGAAGCATCTTGGAAGCTCACGCGACAATCGGCGTGAAGCAAAGGAATAGGAATGGCGTGACGTCGTCGAGATTGGCGCAACAGCGCAAAGTCTGCCGGGTGTCTAGTAGATGTGTCGGTGCATTAATGGATGGAAAAGGGTATAAAAGAATCACAACTATATTACAAGAGTACAATGAAGGAATCTACAGCGACGCGATGTAGGGAGATGGATGTTTGCAAATGCGAGTGCAACAAGCAAGTTTTTTTTGGGGGAGTGGTGGTGGATGCAGATTGATACGAGGGGGAAAATGCAGCTTGTCTTGTCGATAGGAGAGAGAGGCGCGAGCTATCAGAATTTTGCCGTCGGTTGCTTCTTCCTTCCCTTTTTTTTTTTTTTTCTTTCATTATCTAAATCGTCCTTGACTCGGGGTCTTTTAGCCCCACTTAGCCGGGATGGAACGACCAACGACGTTGGACGGAATTTTGCCAGTTCTTGTCTTCTGTTCACTAAAAGGGGTGGGTGGGGCGTTCGGCCAATGAGGTGCGTCCTCGATGCTCATTCGCCACTGCATTCTCCCTCGTATCGGTACGTACATATCGCTTAGTGCCGTTTATCGTAGTAGGTACATGTTTATCTTGGTAACTAGATAGGTAGCTATGGTCAGGTATCATACTCTGTAGTTTGCGTGCTGTGCGCTTGCTCTATGAAGAAGCAATGAGCATTGCAATGCTAAGCTGCGGTGATTATACTTGAAGACTCTCCTCAAAAGACAAATAGATGCGCTCATACGTACACGCATTGAGAGTAGTCGTGGCGAATACTACATACTGTATAGTACAGGTAGAAGCTCGAAGCTCATGTTAGGTAGTGGCGCCGGGACGGCGGAGCATCTCTTGCCGAGTCGATTACATAATACATCTAACCACCCTGAGCACGTCCATCAAATCAACACCCCCCAAGTCCCTGTCTAAGCTCAAGGCGAGAATTTTGGGCCAGGCCAAAGCTACGGATACTTCGAACAAAAAAAAAAGTTCACGATCCAGCAGCCAACGGTTTCCTGGCTTGCAGCAACTCGACACACTAAGCATGGCCACAAGACCAGCCTTTGCGGCTCTCGGCTGTCTGCAATGCCGCAACCAAGTCCTGAGAGCCGTCACCTCCAGCTCGGCCAGTCTCCTTCGCGCTCCCGTTGTCGCAGCAAACACAACTCTGCCCCCTCGCAGTAGCCTACATAGAGCTTTTTCAGCCCTGCCGCCCGACATGCCCGTGCCCAAGCCGAAAAACGAGCCGACCTTCTCTTCAGAGACACCAGAGACCGCCGCAAGGGATATCGAACAGCCCGATGAAGCGAAGCCCAGCGAGACAGAAGATACACCATGGTTCCTGGAGGTTCAGCCCCCTACGCATGCACCGACTCAGCAGGTGTCGCCGTTGCCTGAACTGCCCGAATCTTCGCCTGCTTTGCTCGAGCCCTTGCTAAAGTACGTCTACGAAGAAATGGGTCTGGACGACCTTTCCCTCTTGGACCTGCGCGCCCTCGATCCGCCTCCCGCCTTGGGACCGAACCTTCTCATGCTGTTCGCGACGGCCCGAAGTGAGCGGCATCTGCATGTCTCGTCTTCGCGACTGGTCAAGTGGCTTCGCCATCACCACAAAGTCGAGGCCAATGCCGACGGACTCATTGGCCCTGGCGAGCTCAAGACAAAGCTGCGAAGGATGAGGAGGAAAGCAAAGCTGCTGGGCACGAGTGCCATGGCTGCCAGGGGCGGCGACGACGGCATTTCGACTGGATGGATCTGCATCAACCTCGGCACCACTGGATCCACCTACAACGAAGCTGCTCGCTTCGATGCTGAGGGCAAAATGTCCGGATTTGGTGGCCCCATCACCGGCTCGACCATTGTCGTACAGGTCATGACCGAGTCCCGACGCAACGAGTTGGATCTCGAGCGTCTGTGGTCCCAACAACTCGTCCGAAGCGAAGCCCAGGAGCGCAGGGTGGCAGAGGAGACTTCCGAGTACCACAATCGCTTCGGGAAGCTCCCCACCACGGCCAACGTTCGCGCCCGCAGACCTAATTACTCCAACAATACCCAATCAAGAAGCTTCTCGACTCGTCTCTCTCGGCCGTCAGAGGAAGCCGCTCAACAGGCCCCCGCCGAGGCGGTCGGCGCAGGTATTACTCCTTCAGCAACCTCGAACTCCGTCACAGACCCGCTGAACAAATATCGCCAGCGTGTTAACGAAATCCGGTGGGAGGGGGCGCCGGTCGGCGTAGAGGAGTGCTTGGACATCCTCAAGGGCATTTTCCGCACACCCTCAGCCGACGAGGCCCATGCCCGGAACCAGGCCGACCTTGCTACCGAGGTCATCACGACGATGCACGAACGCGGCATGCCCATTATGGATCACGAGATGCTTATCACCATGATCGAAGCCATCGCATCATCTGGTCCTCGGGCCGACAAGATTCGCAGCATCCAGTCCAACCTGGAGATGGTCATGCTGCAAGGGACACAGTCGTCGCCAACTGAGGCCCAGTTGGTCCGTTTGCTCAAGGCTTACGCGAGTCAGGGCAATTGGGAACAGTTTTGGGAGATATGGAGCGTTCCCGCCCGCTACAGCCAACGCAGAGGACCGGAGATGTATAGGGAAGTGTTTGCCGTGGCCTGGCACACCGGTAGCATGGCTAGATGCGTTGAAACTCTGAGGAAATGTGTTCCCGAGATGAGGTTGGAACAGCCGCCGGTGCTGCCAGACAACACCGTCTGGCCTGACCTTACGGGATGCATCCGCATTGCCGACCCCAATGCCGAACACATCAGCGAGCACATGGTGTCCAGGGGCGGTCAGTCGACTGAAAGCCACAAGGCCGCCAACACGGAGTTTGTCAGGATGCTGAAAGAGCTCAAGGCCATACGGCAAAACATCTGAGCCGTATCTCCCATCACACATGACACATGCACCGTTCGGATTCGATAACAACGCCGTCGATGGATGATGCTAGTGGGGTGAGGCAGCCTCGGATTCAATGAGTCATCTCGGTCGTGGGTGGGCTTCAGCGCTTACTGGCACTCATGGTGCCGATTACTAGGTGGGTTTGCTGTTCACAGCATGCGGCATCACTACCACCGCAGACGAGATAAGGCGGGTGTGAGGTCTCCCACACCTTGTACAACAACAACAACAGCAACAACAACTGTCAAAATAGCTGTATTATACACATATACAAAAGACTCATTCATCAACCAGAAGACGAACAAGTAGCATTCCGCTTCCATGGCCTTTTTCTTCCCATCACTAAACTACCCAACTATGAAGCCCACGCAGCAAACGCGAGCCTAGAAGAAATTTTCGCCACGATTCCTGACCTTCCTCTTTCGGATATACTGCCATCGTTTGTCTTTGAGAGGTCCAGATGCAGGATTGCGGGGTCGGGAGTCGTTTACTTCCCCCTAATGCACGTGTAATCCAACCTCAACACTCAATGACCCGTCTTGATAACCAGTCTTGCTTGCTGCCTCCTCTCACGGCTGTATTTGGACTGTCCGGTCTGTTGATATGGGCGACGCTGCCCCGGAACTCGGCATTCGAGGCCTGGTTGTGGGCTGGCGTGCCCCGGCGGAGCTCGTCCAATAGCACATCGATGCAGCCTCTCCACAGCCGGATCGGCGGGCCAAGGCAACGTTGGCCCGGCATTAATGTGAACCTCACGATGCCCAAAGGAGCAGGTCACAATGCTCTACATCATCAAGCTTGAACAGATGGCTCTTCCCGCAGGGTCTCGCCCTGTCGAGGCCCTATCTGCCCTTCCAGTGTCCGTGGAATCTGTGTTAATCCAACGGGAATCTAGTCTTGACTACACGTGGTGCCGAGTGGACCTCCATACCTCTACTCTATACGTATATAACCCGCAGTCACTTCGCCGCCGTGGCATCGTATCATCTAGTCTCACCAGCCAAGGTCTCTCTCACGCCCTTCACATCTTCCTCTCGTCTCAGCCCCCTCTCAGTATTACAAGATACACCGTCTCGGCACCCAAATGGCCCGCCTAATCCCCCTCACGATCCTGGCGTCCGCCGCACTGCCGGGAGCCCTCGCCTGGGGTGCTCTAGGCCATGCAACTGTCGCCTATGTCGCGACTAACTTCGTCGCCCCCGAGACAAAGACATACATGCAGCAGCTCCTCGGCGACACCAGCGACAATTACCTCGCCAGCGTCGCCAGCTGGGCCGACACGTACCGCTACACGGCCGAGGGCAAGTACAGCGCGCCCTACCACTTCATCGACGCCCTCGACGACCCGCCCCATTCGTGCGGCGTCGACCTCGAGCGCGACTGCGGGGCTGAGGGGTGCATCATCTCGGCCTACGCCAACTACACCCAGCACCTGCTCGACGCCTCCTTGGCCCTCGCGCAGCGCCAGATGGCCGCCAAGATGGTGATCCATTTCACGGGCGACATCGGCCAGCCGCTGCACTGCGAGAACCTCGACGTCGGCGGCAACGACGTCGTCGTCACCTTCAACGGCACCAAGACGAACCTGCACGCCGCTTGGGACACCAGCATCCCGGAGTCCATCGCCGGGGATGGGAAGAACGTGCTGACCGTTGCCAAGCCGTGGGCGGCGGCGCTCACCAAGGACATCAAGTCGGGCGAGTTCAGCGCCGACGCGGCCGGGCCCTGGGTTTCGAACATCGACCTGGAGGACCCGGAGGCCACGGCGCTAGCGTGGGCGGCGGAGAGCAACGCCTTCGTGTGCACGGTCGTGATGCCCAACGGCCTGGATGCGGTAGAGAAGAAGGAAATCGGCGGCGCGTACACGACGAGCGCGAAGTCGACGGTGAGCATGCAGATCGCGAAGCAGGGGTACAGGCTCGCCAAGTGGCTGGATGCCATCGTCGCCGAGTTGGCTTGAGTGTGTCGGAGTGATGGTTATTTGTCGCAGCCTGTATATATAGGTAAAACGCATTGATACTGCATGAGTGAAAGATCACCTGAACACTACGGTATTTCTCGTCAAATACATGATATAATGATAGTTCAAACTTGTTTCAGAAGCGTACCAGCACCTATTGCAACATGGTTATCTGACGTGAGTTTTCAATCCTACACCTAAGCGACCACATATGGTACATGAGGCACCCCAAGCGATGTTCTTCTCGTCCATCAGTACTCCAACTATTCATCTACACCGAGCAGGACATAATCTTGAATTCTCCCAGGCGTAGCCTTTGATTGGCTTAATAGTCAGTCTCGCCACCCTAAGCGACCAATCAGGCTACGCAGTGCTATGCAACATCGGAGCCGCGCCAAATCAACCAGTAGTATACATGTCGTGGAATTACTCGAAACCTCGTTAGTTACCTGTTGAAGTCGTTCTTCTGTATCCCCGGATCCAGTACTCGGATTGCAAGAAGACACCGCTGCACACCGAGTGCCAGGGATTGGTAGGATCGACCAGTACGAGATCGAACCTCTTCAAGAGCTTGGGCGTTGTATGTCAGCAAACGTATCCAGTTGGCAGCGGTCTCTAGATGGACATCGTGAGCGCGACTAACCTCGACAAAGACTTTGTTCAGCTCCATCCAGGCCACGTTCCTACCCAGGCACTGCCACTTGCCGTACCCGAAAACCAGCTCCAACGTGCCCTCCATCGTCCGCAGCCTCTCCGCGTCGGCCTCCAACCACCGCTCAGGCCGGAAGAGGTGGGAGTCCGGGCCCCAGATGTCCTGTCTGCGGAATATCCCCCACGCGCAGTACCCTATCCTGGTGCCCTCCGGGAGGTGCACGCCCTTGAACGTGTCGCCGGCGCCGCCGTTGCACACCTCCTTGGACATCTGCCCCACGACCGGCGGGAAGATGCGGAGGCCCTCCTTGATGACCGCCTGCAGGTACGGCATCGCGCGCGCCTCGGCGTCGGAGACGACGGGCCTCGAGAGGTTGGCGCCGTCGATCTCCGCGCGGAGGGCGGCTGTGACTTTGGGGTTCGTAATGACATGGAGGATCGTCGCCCGGATGGCGGTCGCCGTCGTATCGGAGCCAGCCAAACTTTTTTCCGCCGTCAGAAAACACCGCAGGGATGGATGTGAATCAACTCGGGGGGGGGGGGGGGGGGGGGGGGACGGCGTCGGCCTTCATGTCGATGCTGTACGAGAGTGCCATGGGCTGACGCTGCCTATGAAAATAGGGTTTTCCCGAAGCGACACGTCGGGGGGCTCACATATCCCTCCGTTGATTGGAAAGTTCAGGATGAAGCCTATAGGTAGGTAAACCGAAGGGGGGGGGGGGGGGGGGGGGGGCTCACAGTTGCATGAGTATTTCGGACTCTGCCTCGGCTTGGGTAAGCCCTCGCGCGACAAAGGACCCAAGCATGTCTTTCTGCACCTTTTTGTTGGGTCCGAACCGTTCGGCTGCCACTTGCTTGGCGATACTGTGAGTCGGGCGAGGAGCGATGTTGTCAGCGAATTGCTATAAGCCCAAGTTCATATAAGGGTGTTTGAAATAGACTTTGAGACATGCAGAAACAATCTCACCCCATGGTCTTCCCGACGCCGATGGCGTCTTTCTCGGACGGCATCATGTGCCTGAACAGGGGTGACGAGAGCAGGGCGAGGAGCCATGGCAGCACGCTAGTCACGATGATGGTTGGCATGTTTTGCTCCATCGTCTTGATGTATTCGTGCACGTCCGAGTCGGTCGCCAAGTCTCCAAACGGCTCCCCGAAAGCAAGGTCCGATATGACGTCGAGCGTAAAATACTGGGCCTTGGCGCCAAAGTCGAAAGGTTTGTCCTCTGAGACGTATTTGTCGAGCAGGTCAACCAGTCGCAGGACGTTCTGGTCAAGCTTGGCCTCCAGATTCTCAACTTCCTTTCCGGAATACTACAAACGGCTTCAGTTTTAGCAAAAATGGACAAGATAGAAAAAAAAAGATGGTTATAACCGGGTGGCGGATCTTGGCTTACACCGGCGGCCATCTTCGACCGGAGTTTGTGATGTAACTCATCGTCTCTTGCAGACAGCACATTGTCTTGGCCGGGCTTGAGTCTCATCCCTTCATACCAGATGGATCGCCGGTAAGTCGTCCGAACATTGAGCATGCGCTTCATCAACTCCGGGTCGCTGGTGATGAGATCGTTGGGCCCGACACGAACAATCGACCCTGCGCGGAGGCACAGGAAATACGTTATTATTATTTCGCGCTTGGGCGAAAGGGCAGCTTAGAGCAAATCACAAACGTACCATACTTCTCGCAAGCCTCGTAAAAGTCCAGATGCGCCCTACCTCCTCCCACTGCGCGGAGGAGCCACCACTTGCAAAACCCAGCGCTCGGGGGCCCCTTGATGTGCCTGAGCCGCAGCCACTGGTTGACGGTGGAGGCGACACTGTAAGCGATGAGGACCGATACAGCGACGCTCGCATATGCGAGGTAGTCCCGGCTCATAGTGGCGGTCAGGAAAAGCCAAGGACCGGTTTGCGTGCCAATATAATTAAGAAACTTTGAACCGCGGATGTGAAATACCTGGTGTCTCAGGCCGTGGAAGAGCAAGAAAAAGAAAAGTCTAGGAAACGCTGGGACGAACCCCCTTCTCGCACCGCTGCAAGGGAAGAGAGCCAGCGCATGGGGACTGACTTGACCAACCGAGGTCAGTGGGACAGTCAAAGAAACATGCGCCCTAGAAATGGCATGATAATGCTCTAAATTACTATGTAGCTTCTTACCCGCAGGGTCATGGCCAATAGTGCCGGTGTCTTTACGAGTTACATCGGTTTGAGACTTCAGGTGATTTACGGGGCTGAAGCGGGAAATGCTACCTTTTTCTGCAGCACGGAGCGGAGGCCGGGTAAGACGGTGAGCTTCGATCCAATGAGATGGCATCCGTGCTGATATCACTTCCAAGGGGGGGGTCATGCCCCCCCGTCCTATCACATCGGCCAGCCTATCCCTACATAAATGGCTACTGAAAGCCCTGGCGGAGTTATGATGCAAGCTCTTTTCCACGCGGCTTCAACCGTCGGGAAAGGAGGCGGTCTCCTCGTTTAGAATTCTAAGTTTCCGGCTCCGCAGACTGCGATTGGGCCGCTACGTGGGTTCCAAGGAGCAATGTCTTTGCGATCCTCCAATCAACCCAGCAGTTAAGAGGGTTACTTATTCCGGTAGGGCTTCTGAAAACCCGGACTCCTGACCCTTTCCCATCTGTTTTGACCTCTTTGATCCCGCGTGGTCTCATCCATCCCATCGAGTCGGACGCGCAACACGCGACCTATCGGACACCCCTTCGTTACCGCCGAACTACCGCTAGCGGATCAACATGGCAGACCCAACCCCGGCGAACACCGGCCCACTCGAAGCAGACGTGAGTTTGTTGCCCGTAGATGCGGAACGCGCCGAGAAGGCTCACTGTGGCTGCAGAATGCGGACGAGAACGATGCTAACGACGACGCGGATTCGACCATGGGAGTTGTAAGAAACACCTCGTGCTGACCACTCTGAACTCAAAAAAGGCTGACCTGGCGGGGGAAAGTCTGTGCTCGAATCATCTGCGTCCATGACAAGCAGCATCATGAGATACCGGGAGGAGAATGGTAGAACGTATCACGCATTCCGAGAAGGGAGTAAGTCGCGCATTGGTGATATCCACAAATCGAATTTGTTGCTAAACATGGTCACCAATTAGGATACGTTCTACCAAATGACGCCGTAAGCGCCCCCACAAGCTCTAGGCGGTCATATGAATGCCAGATACAGCACAAACTGACTGGGAAGTGAGCAGGTCGAGAACGACAGGTTAGGTAAGACTTGCGAATCATAGTCCAGAGTAGGGGGAATGACACCAACCAAAACGCCACAGACCTCCAACATCACTTATATACGCTCACATTCGATGGGAAGCTATTCGTTTCCCCGGCTGGTAGCGACAAGCCACTGCACCGAGTCCTTGATGCTGGAACCGGAACTGGCATATGGGCTATGGACGTCGGTATGCCCACTCCGATCCCGACTACCGAGGTAACGGAGAACGCATGCTAACTACTGTTGTTTGCACGTCAACAGCCGAAGAGTATCCAGAGGCATTGGTAGGCAGGCGACCGAAAACAAAGGAGGGGCTCATGACTAAAATACGACTCTTCAGATCACCGGCGTGGATCTTAGCCCAATACAACCAGCATTGTAAGATTTCCGCCGGCAATTGGGGGAGAAGGGATGTTCCTGGCTGACATCTCATGCGACAGTGTTCCGCCAAACGTCACATTCTACATCGATGATGTAGAAGATGATTGGACGTACTCCTACAAATTCGACTTCATCTTTGGTCGAATGCTCACCGGCTCGATTGCAGACTGGCCGAGGTTCATCCACCAAAGCTACGAGTATGTCACGCACCAGTGGACCCCAAGCGCGACAGCGGCGCTATCGCTTCCAAGCGGGCTAACCTATTGCTCCAGATTTCTAGAGCCGGGAGGATGGATCGAGTTGTCCGATATCCTTCTCGATTTGCAGAGCGATGACGGGACCGTCGGCCCGGACTGCGCGGCCCAAACGTGGGCGAAGCATATGCTCGAGGCCGCCGCGATATGGAAGCGGCCGCTGGACAGCTGCAAGTTCTACAAGGAGCAGCTGGCCGAGGCGGGCTTCGTCAACATTACGGAAAAGATTTACAAGTGGCCCACGAACCCGTGGCCGAGGGACCCCAAGTTTAAAGAACTGGGTAAGCAATTTTGGACGGCCTTTTTTTTTTATTTTTTATTCTGGCACCCGTTGCTTTTTGGGTTGCTGACTAGGAGCTGTAGGCATGTGGACGTATGAGGACCTGGGACAAGGGTTATCAGGGCTAAGTCTGGCCTTGTTCACGAGAGCCTTGGGGTGGTCGAAGGAACAGCTCGAGGTCTTTCTGGTTGACGTCAGGAAGGACATGAAAGACAGGTCAATTCACGGTTGGTGGCCAATGTAAGTTCGTCTCCTAACTATGGAAAGGGAAAACCGCTCAGACTTTTCTTCTAGATACGTGGTTTACGCACAAAAGCCGGAATGAACCCACAACTAGTAACACGTCCAGGATGTCAGTGGCTACATACTAATCCTGCAACCGCAGCCTGGCTGTGTGTATGACAAGCTTTAGAGTGACGCTGCTGTTGGGAATTCAAGAATGTTAATTGTTATCATTCATGCAGGAATTGGTAACAGGGAGACTGCAGACGTATCAGACGCGGAAGAAAGGCTCATAGGAGTCATACAGTTGGAACATTGGCAAGCAGAAAACGATTGATTCTAGTTATATTGATGGCTCTGATCCGCAGTGTGGACAAGTTTCGACATCATCAAGATTGTCGTTGTCCTTGATCTCAGGTTCGATCAGGGTGACGACCGCGTCAGCCTCAATCTTTACTACAGGCTCCTTCCATTCTAGATCTCTGGCTAATTTCGTCCAGTTCACGTCCTTAATTAAATCTTCCACAGGGTCGCCGTTTTGTGCCTGATTTTGGAAATGAGTGGCGATCTTAATCCACTTGTCGAACCAGATACACTCATATTTTGATGTTCTAGCCTCCTGGAGCACAAGCTTGCTATTGGTTTTCTTTGCCCAATTTCCAGATTTATACGCATATCTTTTATTGAATGTGCATCTCGACGTAGTGCCGAGAAGTTTCACCGTGAAATGGACTTTCAACTTGAAATCGCCGTCACCCTTATAGAAGATGCTGTGACGCTTCCCGTGCCAGATCCCGAGTGATAGGGCCCAAGGAATGCGCCACCATCCACGAAACGATTCGTGAATCAGCCCTCGGGAAAAGGTCAGCGTATATTCTTATGCTCCAGGGGCTTTCTTTGACTCACCTGTAGTTCCAGCATAGTTCTTCAGTTCCATCTGTGGGGTCCTCCAAATCATTTTCTTTGCTTGGTGTGGAAACACAAATTGGACAAGAACTTTCTCGTCAAAGTTAGCATGACTATGCTGCTGGATTTTTCCTATCATCCAGATGAGCGAGATCATGGAAAGACCACAGTCGGGATTCCCTCCCCCAATATCCGAGTGACAACCAACGAATGCGCACTGCTCGACTACCGTCTCAGGGTTAGCCTTAGCTTTCCACAGCCGCGGCTTGAAGCTTCGTCTCTTCTCGTCTAGTGACATGGCAAAAAAGGCATGCTTGACACATTTAGGCACTTCGTCGTTAACAAAAGAAAACTTCTCTTTCCACAAGCCAAGTGGCGGCAAACTAGGTGGTTTAAGTGCGATCGCCTCACCCAGCTGCTTACCTTGCTCTGGCTGCTTTATTACCTCGTTAGGTGATGATTTTGATAAGTCGGGTGAGTTAGGTAAGCAGGTACATAAATGGAGGGGCGTTTGTTATTAGCATATTAGTGTAAGCGCCCACCGCCAGCCGCTAAGCACAAAACAGTACGTACACACACTCCCAGCGCTCAGACTTGATTTGCTGCTTATGCTGGTGTCGCTTGCCTTAAGGATGGTACGAGTATAGTAAACAGGAAACAGAAAAGACACCCTCATAGGCAAGTATTAATAGCCCTACAGCGCGGTTTTACATTTCTCAAACCTCTCTCTTCTTAATTAAAGTTCTAAGTTGCAGTGTTTAATTACCTTTATTAGATTATCTCTACTCCCCCGCTAAGAACGCTATATTTCTATCTAATCACTCTAAATACGTAAAGCCCCTAAAGATGTTGTTACTGTAGCAAAAGCAAAAGGCTATAAGAGAGGCGCTCACCAGGAGCAAGACACTCAAACAAAACTAGAGAGATACAGTCAAAACACAGTAGCAATACACAGCACTATTCTAGACCAATACACCACATAAGTTGAGTGTCAACTAAACGCCAAGGCCAACTAGCTAATAGTCACAGATAGCACTAGAATAAGCTCTATAAGGAGGCAATCAACTCAAAGGCAGAAGTGCTAGATTTCGACCTTACTTGCAATAGAGTATTAGGGCTATATTCCCCTGCTCCCAACTTAGCGCAGACCAAGGACTTTTTCCGCTTCTAAATTGACTCTAGCATAGGGAAGATCACTAAGAATAGGAGACTATCAGTTAAATCAATAGTTACCAGAGCAGAAGACTTTTTCCATATATTTACCTTTGTCACTAAAACAGAAACAGATAAGGTATAGAATAGCAAAATTTACTATATATATACTCTTATACCGCACTCTTCTTCCTTTTCCAACTGACAAAACTACGCAACAGTAGATAAGAAGAGTCCTCACCAAGGAAGAGGTCCTTAAGGATATCAAAAAGCCTAAGTACAACCTCAGCCTAATAGTCCTTAACTAAGTTATTTAGGCAGTTTAGACTAATCTGTCTGTCCTAAATCAGAGGGCAAGGGTTCAAAACCACCTACTACTTATACTCTATACAGCAAGCAGGGGAAGAATCAGCTCTCTATTCGTTAGTAGGCTCCCGTATAAGGTAACGTTCCCC